GCTGGTTAGGGCTGCCAAAGCATTCACCAGAAGGACTGAAGCCATAGGCACACAGAGCACTGAGACAGACGCCAAGTCAGGCCAAGTCAGGGGGTGGAATCGCCCCCAGAGTCAGCATTTTAAGAAATGGGCCACGTCTGCAGGGGCAAGGCTGTCCCCAAGTTCTACAAAGGGTTTCTCCCAGCCCATTACCAATTTGACTCCTCTATTTTAATGAAGGCATTTTGTCTCTTAACAAAATAAGTTTGGGTGTAATGGCACATGCCTGTAATCACACCTACTCAGGGGGCTGAGGCAGGAGGATCACAAGTTCAAGCCAGCTTGGGCCCCTGAGCAGAAACTTGTCTCAAAAAACTGTTTTTAAGGTAAAATAAGATACCTTAATAGACACATTAAATCATCAGTGACCCATTATCTCCTTAATATGGATCACTCAATAAATAGTAACTGAAATTGAGCTATAGGAAAGGTGCTGTACTAGACATGGAACAGGAAGAAGGAGGTATGGACCAAACACATAAGACTTTAAAGTCATGGAAATCAAAGAGCGAACACATGTCAGAGTTTACGTGTCTTCCCAATGCCCTTTGACCTGGTGCAGGTAAAGAGCTTGATTCTGAGAAGACTGTCTGCCTGTATTCAGGGTCCTCACCACTATCTGGTGATGCTAGGAAAGCAAAGCAAGGATGAAAAAACCCTCTTCCCCAGGTAGCTGTAAGAATTAAATTGTTATAGACAGTCAAGTTAGATAAAAGATTATACGCAGTCAAAGAGGATTAGGCCTTCAAAACAGTCAATATAAAAGATGAAAACACATGACAACTGTGTCCAGAGGTGCATCTGTCAGAGGTCAGATCTCAAGACAAAGATAACATGACCAGGCCTACATGCTTCCCCAAGGGATAAGGTAAGTGGTAACACCTGGTCCAGTAAAGTCTAGATAGACATCAGTCACCTTGGCAGGTAACCAAGACCCTCAGACCCATCCTAAAAAGTGCTTTGTTCTTTCCATATACACTTGCTATGTTACATGCTTTCCTAGTAGATCAATATTACTTAAGCACCTATATTTATCATCTTATTATTTTTTTTTTGTTTTGTTTTGTTTTGTTTTTTTGGGTTTTTCTCCGGTACCGGGAACCGAACTCACGGCCTTGCACTTGCCAGGCAGGTGCTTTTGCCGCTGAGCTAAGTCCCCAGCCCCCATCTTATTATTTAATCATAGCTTTAATCCATGTTATACCTACCTCATGATTTTGCTTCCTCTGTGGAGTGGGGACCATGACAATCCTTTCAGGTCCCCTCCTGTCTCTTTCAAGAGCTGTCTCTCTCTGTTGATAAAATTTCCTACTCTTAACCTCTGTAGTCACCTAAAATTAATTCTTCAACTTTGAGAAACACAAACTGAACACACCAGACATCTAGCAAGTTGAGACTCACATTATAAAATCTAAACATCCTATGTCACTTGGAGGTTCCAACAAGATAATTGGAAAGAGGTAGTTTGCTCTTGTTTCATAGATTCTAGGCTGTGACTCATTTAAGTAACTAGAAGTAATCGTCCTTGTCTGTCAGTTGCTTAAGACAGGGCGTAAACATTCTTTTTATGCATTGTTTTTATGTTAAAAAGATGATAAATTTAAACTAAAAAGATAATGATTTTTCTTTAATGAGACATTTTGCTTTTGTGGCAAAATCTTGTACTCCTGTTTCGTATGTGCTACATTTGGACTTACTATTTGTTAAATTTACTAAGGTTCTTTGTTTGACCTGTTTGATTATTGTGGTTTGTTATCTTAGACAACAGCACTAAAAAAGTAGTGTTAGAACTTCCCCTAGTAGACTTTGATACTAACCAAAATGTAAATTTATAAAAAGCTATAAAATGGGTCTTTTTATTAAATCTAGTTTACATTTAAGACATATACATGCCTATTAATAAGTTGTGGAACTCCATTTGCCAGTTAAAGGCAGTCGGTCAGCAACCATTCTTAAGACTCAGAAGACAGGTTTCACTGGGACAGTCTGGCCAGTCACCCCTCTGCACTCTAGAGGAAATGTTGAGCCTGTTGTGCCTCAGTTTCCTTTCTGCTCTGATCTCCCACTCCTGAGGAGGCAATCTGAACTTCTGAGATTCTCCACTCCCGCCCTTCCAGGCTGAGGGTGATGACTCAGGGATAAATGGTCTCAGTAACTCACCATGAGAATAAAAAGAAAAGATTTCCTTTTTGCTGATCTTTTCCAGCCATTTTATACTTTTCACGTTTTAGAGGCATGTTTCTGCTAAAGATTAGAGGAGAAAGAACCCTAAACTGTCTCAATCTTTCCCTCCTCTCCAACAATTAAGAACTTTTCAGCCGAGCTCATAAAAAATGAGCATTTGCTAACACCAAAGACAAAAATATCACCTTAGATGAAAAACACACACTGAGGGCCTGGGTCAGATGAGACATCAAAATTTTGCCCATCCAGAAAAACACACATGAGAGCCATGTCCAGGCTTAGTATTCTGGGCTACAGTCTTCCTCAGGACACTAAACCTGAGACCCCGTGGAAGAAAACTGACTTCTGGGTGAGACAAAAAAGACCTATTTCTCCCAGCACAATACTTAAGAGACTAATACATCTAGTTTAAGAGAAAATCCCCAGCCTCCTAGTTCTCTCTCTCACCTCCAAGGTCTCATTCTCATCATTTATGTGTATAAGAGATAAAAATACTTTCACTAATAAGTTGAGGTTAGTGACAATAGCTATAAGTTTTAACCTGTTACAGATATAGAGATGCAAAAATTTTAGAGCAGATTTTAAATAAAACTTAGCTTTGTCTTGCTGCTAAAAAAAAAAAAAAAAAGGTTGCCTAGGTGACTAGGCAGACAGCAGAAATGTCTTGGTGGCTTCTTTGCCCTAGGGCCCAGGGCAAGATTTTTTTCCTCTGGAGGTGATTTTCTTTACAGGCCGGGAAGTGCTCCAACCACTTCTAATTTCCCTTTGATCCTTTTTCCTCACTCTCTTTCAAAAAATTAAAAAACAGCCAATCAGATCTCCTGATTTTTGGTTTAATTTTGCTAACATTGCTTCTTTCTTTAAACATGACGGTTATAGCTAAAATCACTTATAGCTTGTGTTTCTAAAACATATTCTGGAGTTAAGGGTGTGAGTTCCTGGGGAAGACGAGGGTGTGCATTAGTAAGGGTGGCTAGTCGAACCCTCCCTGTCTCCTGGTCGCTCTCCAGACAGCAGCACCTGCTCTGGAGGGCAGCTATGCTCACCACTACACCACCAATGCAGTCACCGCTCTCGAGTGGGTCACCTCATGGGGCATCTTGAAAGGTTATAAAAATCAAGTAGGGATTAAAAAGGATGCTTATTTTCCTTGTTCAGATGGAAAACTCAATGTCAAATTCTCATACTCTCAAGTACTAAAAATTGTTCAACTCTCGCATATTAAGAAAGAGCCATTTAATATTTTCTGCACCTTTACATGGCCTGCCTCCCACTAGAGACAAAATAAAACACAAAGAGAAATATTAACTGTGATGCTATTTCACAACTAAAATTATATTACAACAGAGAAAAATGGTCAAAATTACCCTATGTTCAGACTTTCTTTGCATTGAGAGATAATTCTTACTTGTGTTCAAAATATAACATAAGCCACAAAAAAACACACCTCTGACCCTTAAGGCACAATCAGATGCATCTACGATAGCCGAGCCTGAGGTTCCCCACCCTCACCCTTCAAACCCTAAAGATGAGGTTTCTAAGGTATCCTTAATCAAAACCTCATCCACTACCACTAGGCCCAAGGCTCCCCCACCTCCTACCGTTTAGACTGTATTGGCCAAGCTTCCAAGCCAACCTATTAGGTTACATCCAACCTTACCTAATTTTGCTCAAGTTCCTCAGGAACAATATTCCTTTCAAAAAATAAGTGGCAAATTTGACAACACCCTTGTCCAGGTGTCCTGTCCTCTCAGGGACCTCAAGCAGATCAACAGTCTAAAAACTTTTCAGATGACCCTGATAAGTACATTAACGTCGGTAAGAGACTTACTTGGACCTATAAACTAAACTAAAAAGATACAATGTTACTCTTAAATCAAACATCAACTTGTAATAAGAGACAACCAGCACTATAACCTGCTTCACTGATAAATATAATATTGTTAATTTTAAAAGGCCCAAAGTGAGACAGGCAAAAAACAAAAACAAAGACAAAACAGCCAGCTCCTACTACAGCCCAAGAGTCCCTGCACAGGATGGCTACTGACCTATCTCAACCAAACATCTAAAGAAAGATAAAAACAAAGTCTTCAGTTATTTTAAATTGTCAACTATTCATTAAAAAAAGACAAAAACCTCTCTGTCTTCTTAGATCATTTATAAGAGACACTGATAAATCATACGTCTCTAGCTCCTGATTCAATAAAAAGACACGTTATTGTTAAAAACAAGTTTATTACCCAGTCAGCCTCCAACATTTAAAAAAAGCTACAGAAGATGGTTTTTACTCCAAATAGCTCAATCAATACTTTAATAAAAATTGATGTCTCCACAGTTTATAATCAAGACCAAAAATAGACCAAAGAGAAAAAAAAAAAAAAAAAGACCAAGAACAAGTGGCTGCCTCAGTTACAACCTTAAACAATTAAACTCTGTGTCTGATTCTTGGGGCTCCCAAAAAGCTGAATGACTAAACTCACCACTACAAAAAGCCAGGCCACCTTTAAAAAGACTACAGTAAAAACCAACATGACAAGAGGTCCCCTACGCCATGCCCTGATTGCAGAAGTGACCACTAGGGGCTGGGGATTTAGCTCAGCAGCACAATGCCTGCCTGGCAAGCGCGAGGTTGTGAGCTCGATTCCTGGTACAGGAAAAAAAAAAAAAAAAGTGACCACTAAAACTCAGACTGCCCCTGAGACAAAAGTGGCAGAGGTCAGACCCATCTTACCAGTTAGCCCCACAAAACTAAAGTGCTCTGGGGCGCTGTCCGCCTTCTCCCTCTGGCCAGGCCATCATCTCCGCAGACGAGCCCCAGAAAATCAGGACTATGGAGAAAAGAAACAACTGCCTATTGCCAGCTGGCACGTGTCTCTCAGTCTTTCTTTCCAACCCTGGCCTCCCTTCCAGCTGTCATACTTTGATAAAAAGCCACTAAAAAGTATAAACAGCTCACTCTTTCTCACAGCCCTCATGCTATAACTGAGCTGGTTCCTCTTCACTCATTCCTGTCTAATGATGCCTAAAAGTCCAGTTCCCCTCCTGAGGAGAGACATCTTACCTTGTCTAAATGCTGTGATACACATACACACACTCTCTTCAGGCAACCCCGAGTCTTGCTTCCATCACCCCCAGTAATAGCGTCAAATTGTACCTCTCTAGTGGATCAGCGACCCGTCACCTTCAACACCCCACCGGCAGCCAAACTTTCAACACAGTGAACCTTCTCAGGGATTGCAGTGGGCCCCAGCTATAACCGGTGCAGACTGGGAACCGTGTAGGAGACCCAACCTCAGCTGCTTGGGAATGTGTGGCTCTGCAGAAGAGTTGGGGTGGTTACGAGGAGCCTTCTGCAGGGAAGTGGGTGTCTGGGGTTGTGGGAGTTTGGTATTTAATTATTTACCTCTTTGAACTGTGAAGGGAGTTTGGCAGTAATGATAAATGGAAGAGAAGGAGTCAGTGGGGAGCGCCAGGCTGACAATTTGCGAAAAGAGGACTGTATTTCCCTGTTCCCATCCTCTTCCCTTTGCGTGTTCTATGGACCATTTCCCCACTGCTCCAGACCTCACACTGTTCGCCTAGAAAAGCATACGGAGTTAAACATATATACAGCCTCTCCTAGCTGTAAAATCATTTTATTCCTCCATGTCACTCTTTCAGTTATCTGAACATCAAAGAGAACTACAGAGGTTAAAGTGAGCAAGTAACTTCCTTTGAATTGCAAGACAAACTTGTTGAATTTTACTGCTTACTGCATACGTGTCATGAAATGCAAGGCAGCCAGTTCAGCATGGTCCCCGCAAGTGCACAAATGCATGTCCACTGTGTAAATAACATGTCTCCCTTCACCGCCTGCATCAGTGACCTTCAAACTCATCGTCCACCTGTTTTGCTGCAGTCAGTTCTTTAATGGGGACAACAATATTTATACCTTGAACACAGGAGATTGGGGTCCTGTTCCAGATACACAGTTAACACTCGGACTTGTAGATCACTTAGAACTGGCCTCCTGGCCAATTGCAATAGACAATTTGAGTGCACTGAAAATATTCAGGTATGCAAAAAATTAAATAAACCTTCTACACACACGTGGAAGTACATCTTGCAAATTGCGGGAAACATGTTCAGATTATTTCTGCCAAGGCACAGGCTGTGTTTACCAGCCCCATCTAATAAGGAGCGACTTGTCTCTGAGCCTCACAAGATGCAAGCACACTCAACGGAAAGATGCATGTTCTTAGCGTGAATGCCGTAAACCTGTGCCGTGAAGCCTACAGCAGACTTGCTGGGTGTCCAGCAATGGTGGGTGAGTGGTAACCTCATCATCCTCTTGCTGCTAGACATCCTGAATATCCTTACGTGCTCATCCAGTAATCATGGTGCTCTGCATCTAGATTTGCTGCTGTATATCCCACTTAAATATCTTTGATTGGCATAACATGGACAAGCAGAGAGAAAAGTCCATTTCCCTCCAGGATCTCCCAAGTAGCCAGGAGATGCTTCCTCCTGGCTGGTCCCAGACTTGATGGCATGCGGTAGTCAACCCAGCCACCAGGGCAGGACCTCCAACGGAAGAGTCTCTTAGAAGGCAAAATATGGTGACCGTGGTCTTCCATCTCAAACACTGCTCACACCTCTCTTCTCGGCACAAGATGAAGGTCTCTTGAAGGGTAGCACTCTCAGGTAGGTGCTTGTGCCACTGAGCTATATCGCCAGCCCCTGGGTAGTGCTACCAGTCAAACGCAAGGATCACTCAGATCTCCTGCTCTCTTTTTATCCCTTGGTCTCTTTGGCTGCATCGTGGGGCTTAGCAAGACAGACCTGACACCTGAAAGACTAATCGGGGGGAAAGCTGAGCAGGCTGGTTTCAGCTCCTCCTCGGAGTCTTTCAGGTGGCGAGACTGGCTGCTGGAAGAGTCGGGGTGTTCAGCCAGAAGGAAAGAAGAACGGTGGCTGTATTTCTGTCTCCTCCAATGGCCATGCCCTATATTCTGGCCAAAGATGGAGAGCTGGCCGACAAGAGGAATTTCCTGTGTTTCTGCCCCATGGGTGCTGCTTCCTGCCCGACTTTCTGACACCAGCCTGCTGCCAGAGCCGTGCTGTTTGCGTTCAGTTTGGCCAAACACTCGGATTTTAATTAACTGATTGCTATTCCAAGAACCAACATCAAATACTTTTCTGATCTTTCATGGTGAAGCAGAAACCAGTGGGTAGAGGGGACAGGAAATAGCCCTGCTCCCAAACCCTGCTGGCTTTGCTGGGGGTGGGGGGTAGAAACACCCCGTAAACCACGGGGCAGTCATTTATTAGAAATAATGTCACTGAAAGGGAAGTTGCCATGGTATCGTGGCCTCCGGCTGAGCTCAGTCTACTGGGGAGGGGCGGGAAGGTTGCGTTCCGCCTTCCCCTGAATAAACTTCAGCTTGACTCTCATCATGCTGGTAAATCACAGCACAGGGAAGCTAGTGACTATTTGGTGAAAAAGGTGATTCAGGTCAGGTTGCTTCTCAATCTAGTTGAGTGACTGTGGCAACATGTCGGGGTCAGAGAAGTAAGTCAGAAGCTGAAACAAAAATGACCTAATTGCTTTGCCATATAAGCTCGTATTTAAAAATGAGAGGCACAACAGAAAAGATTGCATCACCAAAGTTTTAAAGCCTTGGTTACTGCAAGTAAATACAGCAACAAACCTGGAGAGAAATTCCATCCGAGTTGAAGTGAATGCCGTCTCGGCTTTCCTCACAGAGGGTAGAGGCACCGGCTGACTGGCAGGGACAGCGTTTGAATTCTTTCTGCCTGATGTCGCTGTGAGGTGACATGCAGCTGGGCGTTCCAACCCCCGGGGTGTGGATTCGGATCAAACCTGTGTGTGGATTTGTTTTTCATTTAAAGAGAAAAAATTTTCAACACGAGATAATAAAAGAGTAACAGTGGTTAATATATTACATATTGCTATCTTAAAATTAGTTACTCAGAGTACAAGATATAGGCATTTAACTGTCCAAACTATATGAGCACAAACCTTTCTTTTCAATGAAATAAGAATTTAGTAGTGTAACTGTCTTAACTATCTTGCAGATGTATGTATTTTACTGCTTTCCCTTCCTTCTTTTCTCCTTTCCCCATCCCAGCTTCTCTTACCTTTGAACAGTTTCTTCCCATTTTACAATATCTATTGCACATTTTTAAATCTTATTTACTCTTTAGTTTCTCATACTACGGAGACAATACGACGTTTACACACGTGAGTCTGGTTCATTTCACTTATAAGTATGGTCTCGAGCTGCATCCATTTACCTATAAAAGACTCTAGGTTATCCTTTATGGCTGAGTAGTACTCCATTGTATAAAAAGACCACATCTTTTCTATCTATTTCTTTGTTGATGGGCATTTGGGTTGTTTCCAAGACTTAGCTATTACAAATTGTGCTGCTATAAACATGGGTGTACATGTAACACAGTGGTACAATGTTTTTTATTATTCTGGGAAGATACCCAGAAGGAAAATTGCTGGGTCAAATAAGACCTCCAATTCTAGTTTCTTGAGGAATCTACAAACTGATTTCTACAGTGGTTGCACCAGTCTACACTCCCACCAACAGTGGAGAAGGGTTCCTTTTTCCCTACAGCCCCTCCAGCATTTGTTATTGGTTGATTTCTTAATGGTAGCCATTCTTTCTGGGGTGAGATGGAATCTCAGTGTTGTTTTAATTTGTATCTCTTGAATGACCTGTAATGTGGAACATTTTTTCATATATTTATTTGCTGTCTGTATTTCTTTATCTGAAAAATGTGTATTCATCTCAGATGCCCATTTTTAAAGTGGGTCTTTAAACTTGGGAGGTCTGATTTTTTGGGTTGTTTATATGTTCTTGATGGTAATCCTTTGTCTGAGGAATAGATGGCAAACTTTTTCCCACACTGTGGGTTGTCGCTTCACCTTGTTGGTGGCTTCTCTTGCTGTGAAAAACCTTTTAACAAGATGAGAGCCCAGTTGTTGATTCTTTGTGGTAGTTACTGTACATTCAGGGTTTTATTCATAAAGTCTTTACCTATACCAATGTCTTTGAGAGCTTTACCTATTCTATCTTACAGCAGATTTAATGTTTCTGTTTTAAAATTTAGGTCTTTGATCCATTTTGATTTTAGTTTAGTGCATGGTGAAAGATATGGGTCTCATTTTAATCTTCAGCATGTGCATTTTCCCAGCACCATTTAGTAAAGAGGCTGTCTTTCTTCCAGTGAATGTGTTTGGCACTTTTGTCAAAGATAAGGTGGCTGAGTATGTCTGGAGGTGTTTCTGCATCTTCTAATCTGTTCCATTGATCTTTGGGTCTGTTTGTTGTTGTTGTTGTTGTTTACCAGTCTCATGCTGTTTTTATCACAGTAGCTTTATAGTATAATTTCAAGTCAGGGATTGTGATGCCCCTTGCTTTACATATGTTGCCCAGAACTGCCTTTTCTATTCTATGTCTCTTCTTGTTCCAAATGAATTTTAGCATTGTTTTCTCTAAGTCTGTGAGCTATGCTATTGGAATTTTGATCAGCATTGCACTAAATCTGTAAAACAGTTTTCAAAGTATGGCCATTTTCACTATACTGGTTCTTCTTACCCAAGAGCAAGGGATATCTTTCCATGTTCTGATACCCTCTTCAATCTTATTTTTCAGAGTACTGTTGTTTTCAATGTAGAGTCTTTTACATCCTTCATTAAACTGGTTCCTAGGTAGTTCATTTTTTGGATGCTATTGTGAAAGGTACTGTTTTCCTAATTTTTCTCAGTGAGCTTGTTATTCACATACAGGAAGACTGTTGATTTTTGAGGGTTGATTTTGTATCCAGCTATGCTTTTGAATTTGCTTATTAAATCTAGCAGCTTTTTAGTGGAGTTTTTGGGGTCTTCTGTGTAGAGTATCATGTCATCCACAAATACTGATAATTTAACTTCCTTTCCTATTGTTTTTCCTTTTATTTATTTCCCTTGTCTAATTGCTCTAGCTAAAGTTTCCAGGACTATACTGAATAAGAGTCGAGACAGTAGACATCTTTGTCTTGTTCTTGATTTTAGATTGAAAGCTTTCAGTTTTTCTCTGTTTAGTATGATGTTGGCTGTTGATTTGTCATAGATGGCTTTTATCAGATTGAGATAAAGACCATCTATTCCAGTTTTCTGTAGGGTTTTTTTTATCATGAATGGGGTGCTGGACTTTGTCAAAAGCTTTTCCTGCCTCTATTGAGATGATCAATGGTTTTTGACACTGGCTCTGTTAATATGGTGTATTACATTTATTGACAGCCATATGTTGAATCATCCCTGCATCCCCGGGATGAATCCCACTTTGTCATGGTGTATAATCTGTTTGATGATTTGCTCATTCTATTTACCAGTATCTTATTGAGGATTTTTAAATCTATATTCATTAGGGAGATTGGCCCGCAATTCTCTTTCTTGGTTGGGTTGTTCTCCAGATTTAGTATCAAGGTAATGCTTGTTTCCAGGAATGGGTTTGGGAGTATTGCTGCCCTTTCAATTTCATTAAAGAGTTTGAGAACTAGTGGCATTAGGTCTTCTCTGAATTTCTTATAGAATTCAGCGGTGAATACATCAGTGCCTGGGCTTTTCTTTGTTGGTAGGTTTTTAATTATATCTTTGATTTCATTGATTGATATTGGTTTATTTAGTATTTTTATATCTTCTTAAGAGGATATAAAATAATGGTAGTTGGTAATTGAGGGTATGAATGGTAATAATGGTGTGAATTTAGTAATTCATATGTATCTAGAAACCTGTCCATTTTTTCTGCATTTTCCGTCTTATTAGAATACAAGTTCTCAAAATAGGTATAGGATTCATTGTGATTTCAACCTTTTCATTCCTAATTGCTTGGATTTGAGTTTTTTTCTTTCCTTTTTTTGATAAAGTTGGCTAAGGGTTTGTCAATTTTATTTAATCTTTCAAAGAACCAGCTCTTCAATTCATTGCTTTTGTATTGTTTTCTTAGTCTTGAATGCATTAATTTCTGCTCTGATCTTTACAATTTCCTTTCTCCTATGCACTTTTGGCTTAGCCTGCTCTTCTTTTTCTAGAAGTTTGAGGTTCAACGTTAAGTTGTTTACTTGCACTTGTTCTGTTCTCCTGATATAGGTATTTGCTGCCATAACTTTCCCTCTTACGACTGCTTTCATTGTGTCCCATATGTTCCAGTGTGTTGTATCATTATTGTTTAATTGTAGAAACTGTCTAATTTCTTCTTTAATTTCATCTGTGATCCATTGGTTGTTCAGGAGAGTGTTGTTTAATTTCCATATGCTTATGGGGTTGTTATGGTTTCTTTTACCATTAATTTCCAATTTCATTGTACTATGGTCAGATAATTTCTTGGGATAATTTCAATTCCTTTGCATTTACTTATGTGTGCTCTATGAGCTAGTGTGTGGTCTATTTTGGAGAACATCCTATGTGCAGCTGAGCAGAATGTGTATTCTGATGTTGTGGGGTAGAACACTCTGTAGACATCTACTAAGTCCATTTATTCAAAAGTTTGGTTCAGTTCTAATATTTTATTGTTGATATTTTGTCTAGTTGATCTGTCTTTTTGTGGCAGCGGGGTATTGAAATCCCCCAATACAATTGTATTGGTGGTTATTTGACTTTTCATGTCTGTTAATATTTGTTTCATATAGTTGGGTGCACTGGTATTTGTGGCCTATATATTTATGATTGTTATCTGTTCCTCTTGGATTTTTCCCTTTATAAGGATGTAGTCACCTTCTTTGAATCTCTTAATCAGTCTTGACTTGAAATTCATTTTTTCAAACAGAATAGCTGTCCCTGGTTTTTTTTGAGTTCCTGTTGCATGGAGTGTTGTTTTCCATTCTTTGACTTTCAGTCTATGAATTTCCTTTTTAATTAACTGTATTTCTTCTATGTAATAGATTGTTGGATCTTGCTTCAGATCCATTCTGTGTCTTTTGATTGGTGAATTGAGACTATTAACATTGATGGTTATACCTGATAATGTATTGACTTATTCTTGGCATATTATTTTCCTGTTGTTGACTACCCCCCTTTCTCTCCCTCCCTCTGTTTAATTGTTTGTCTTGCCTGGTGGATTCCTTCTGTTGGCATTCATGGAGTTGTAGCCCTTTTTATCTCTTTCTACAATGTCCTTCAAAATATTTTGGAGTGCTGGTTTGGTGATTGTAAATTTGCTTAGCTGTTCTTTGTCATGGAAGTATCTTATTTCTCCATCACTTTTGAAAGACAGTTTTGCAGGGTACATCAGTCTGGGTTGAAGGTTGTTTTCTTTTAGAACTTGAAACACTTCACTCCAAGCTCTCCTTGACTTGAGATTTTGTGCTGAGAAGTCAGCTGTAATTCTGATGAGGTTTCCTTTGGGATGATTTATTTCTTTCTCTGACAGCTTTTAAGATTCTATTCTTGTGTTGAATTTCTGGAAGCTTGACTATGATATGCCTGGCTGTACATTTTTTTATCATGGTTAATTGGAGTTCTATATGCGTCACTTAAATGTATGTCAAATTCTTCTACCCTACCAGGGAAGTTTTATGCTGTGACATCCGTGAACAGTCTTTTTATATAATTTTGCTATCCCCTGCTTTTTCATTGACTCCAATCACTCTTAAGTTGTTCTTCTTTGCATCATCTAGCAGCTGCTGCACTGATTTCTCATGATCCCTTGCTATTTTTAAGAAATCTTTCTTTTCGTGGTTGCTAGCCACAAGCCTGTCTTCTATATCTGAGATCCTATCCTCACATTGGCTTAATCTGCTGTGAGAACTTTCAATGGAATTTTTATTCTCCTGGATATCTGCTTGAATCTGTCTTATGGACTCCATTTCTTTCCTATGCTGAGCATTCATAGCTTCCACAATTTTCTTAAGCTCCACTATTTTTTTTTTATCTGTAGCTCCTCTAGAGTCACTAAGCATGGTTTCATTGTGGACACCATCTCTGCAGGTATCTGAGAAATTATTTCTGATATAACTTTTTCTAGAGCCTCATTCAGTTGCTTTATTATTACAACTTCAGAGAGAACAGGTGGGTGGCTTTTACATTGTCCCACCTCATTGCCCCCTAGATTTGCCTCTGGTGAACTGGATGTCTGGCATTGCGTCTTGTTTAAGCATCTTCTCATTTTCTTTTTTCCTTTTTTTTTTTTTCTTTTAGTTTAATTCCTGGGGTGATGCTTGTAAATTGCCTATGGTGGGTTGCTTTATTGCTAGTATTTAGAACCCTTAGGACATGACTATTTTCTGAGGTATCTTGCAGGTGTAGCTAGTGTCTTGGTTACTTTTCTCTTACTGCTGAGACAAAATACCTAATGCCAAAATGAAGGAAGGAAAGGTTTATTTAGCTTACAGTTTGTGGAGATTTCAGTCCATACTTGGCTGGCTCCAAGGCAGAAGGCAGCAAAGCAACAAGAGCAAAGCAGAGAATGGCAGCAGAACAACAAAGCAGCCAGAGCAAACCAGAGGAATGGCAGCAAGCAGCTTCTTTCCCTGCCTTACACTGTAAACAGGTACCCCCACCTAAGGGGCGTGTAGCTCTCACATAATCTCCATGCCCTCCTCTTCCACAGGCTCAGGATGTATACAAAGTAAGCACCCTGGCTTCCTGCTGAGTCACTTAACCAAACCGCTAGACTCCCCAAGTTGACACAATGTATCAACCATAACAGCTAGTTTTTGGGTTCTGAGAGTGTTGCAAGAGCCTACCTCTTCAATTTGTTGGGGTGAGAAGTTATTGCCTGTTTGGCTCAGCCCCTGGTTCTTTGGCACTGTGCCACAGTATTTTCTATGACCTTTAGTCAATCTGGAGTACCAGGAAAAAGGGCTGTTTAGAACAATTATGCCACTTTTTGCTAAAGAGGTATCATCAGCAATAACAATAGCATCAAACAGCCTAGAAAATGACAAACTGAGGTAACCATTAATTTGCCACCTTTAACTATATCAACTAGTTTCGTGGTTATACAACAAAATCCAAGACAAATCAGAAAATTAGATGCAGTATATAATCCTTGATGTACCAATTTTTTTCTCAGTGGTTAAAGTTCAAAAGGGGTCAGGGAGAAAAGAGAGAAACAGAAGAAGGGGAGGAGATTAGAACTAAGATTGAAAGACAAAGAAGAATTATGCTAACTTTGGAAAACTTTGCAGAAGAGTGGAGGGAAAGGGAAGGAAGAGAAAAAGAACGGAACAGAACAACAACCACAAAATGGCTAGAAACCACATTCACACTTATATAAAAACAAGATAAAACAATGAAGGGGGGGACAAAAACAAAAACAAAACTACAACAACAAGAGCAAAACAGAAACAAGAGAAAAAATGTCCACTTCCAGGTTTGTCTCTGCTGTCACTGGTAGACAACATGTGGGACAGAGTCCTGATCCATACTGATCTATCCCAGCAAGCCAGCAGTAGCTTTTTGGCAGGGTAGTACATAATCTCATCAAGCCTGTACCTTCTGACTGAGACCAGACTCATTCAACCTACAGTCATCAGTATAACTTTCAGGGGCCTGAGACCAGCTGGCAGGTGCTAGATGGAGCCAATAGCTGCTCTGAGCTCTGAGCCCAGCCAGCCCCTGTCCAAGATGCACCCCAGCCAATTGTTCTTTCCTGTGTAGGACAATTGAGCCCTCCACACTCACCACCAACTAGTGCAGTCCTTCATGTCCACTGCTCCCCTTCATGTCACTGCTGTGTCTCTGTGGTGACCTCTGGGGTCACTAGCAGTCACCTTATGTCTGCAGATTTGAACCTCTCCTCCCCTACAATGAGTCCTGTCAGGGAGAAGGAGCCACTGGCTGCCTACTTTTTCTTCGTTGAAGTTTCACTTTCTCTTTTGGGCTTCAGTTCTTGCTTCAGAGCCTTCTTGGGTCCAGGGGACCCACTGCCCTCCTTCTTGTCTTTCTCGTGTTGCTGCATTCCAGTCTCTCTGCTTACCACTCCACCATCTTGGTGCTCCCCTCTGGAACTGCTTTTAAACTGTCCTAGAAGTCTTGTGTCTGTAAGGATCTGGCCTCTAGTCTCTGCGGAAGAGCCTCACCCTCCTGATTAGATTAACAAACATCAGCTCCTTTTCTTCTGCAGAGACCTGTCACCCTGGAGATACAGGAAACACGTAACTGCACATCCACACAAAGTAGTCTCAGGCCCCTCTGGAGAGTGAAAGTCTGCCCCCTCCTACCTGCATGACATCCAATTTGTGGTCCTCAAAATTCAGTGAATAGCAACAATAATACCCACTCTATTCTTTTCTATTCCTAGCTACCAAATTATCCAAAATGCAGCAGCTTATAACCACAAACACATATTCTAACACAGTTTCTGAGGAGTGGTCAGGGATTCATGTGCAGTTTCACTGGGAGGACCCAGTTCAAGAGGAAGCAGCTGAGGTGTTGGTTGGGTCCAGCGTCACCAAAAGCTCAACTTTGGTTGGAGAACCAGCTTCCATGATGGCTCACTCAAGGGACAATGGCCAGGAGGTCTTCGTTCCTTGCCTCACTGGTCTGTCTCTCTCTCCACAGTCCACTCGGATGGTCTTGTGGGTGGCAGCCAGCCTTTTCTCCCAGAATAGCCATCCCTTTTGTAGCATGCCTGGGCAATGACACAGCATCCCCTCTGCACTTTTATGCCAGCCACATGGACCAGCACTGACGACCACAGGAGACAACTCTTATTCATGGGCAGAAGGAGGAGCTGAAGATAAGCGCACAGCCTGGGAAGGAAGCAGGTCTACCCAGTAGAAGCACCATAGAGAGGAGTCATCATCATTATTCAGCCAACACAAAGCATCCCAGTTTGCACAGAAGGAAGAACTGATAGACAACACACACAACAATGGTTCAAATGAGGACACCATCCAGCTCACCCAGCATTCATCCCAATTTCCAACCAAGACAGTTATTTCAAGTGCCTGACATGTGCTGAGCACCGCTCTGGTTCCTTAATCCACAAAGCAAGACTCCAGCCCCATGCACGGGAGGCTCTCAGACCACTAACACGGGCCCAGTGCGCATGCGGACTATGCAACGTGGCAGCATGCAGGGAGTGCTGGGACGGAAGAGGGAGCTGGGAGCAGCTGAGGGGCATGCAGAGTGCAGTGCAGGCGCCGGTCACTGCACAGCCGGGCAGCCTCACAGAGGAGGGGACTGGGAGGAGGGGAAGAGGGGCTGGGGGTGGCCAAGCAGACAGCTGGAGGAAAATACCAGGCTAGAGGAAGTAGAGCTTCAGCCCAAAGTGAGATCGTGCATCATACATTAGAAAGAGAGCAGCCAAGCCAGCTGGGGAAATGACTTCGGAGTGAAAGAGGTAAGTGGAAGGACAAGGCCATGCAGGGGCTCGCAAGCTGTTTGCGGCAGCCTCCTCACACACTCCCCCTGCAGGGAAAGTAATGAGCCAGCATGGGCTGCTGGGACCTGCAGGCCGGGCCAAAGCCAAGATGCCCCGGGGCTCCACCCCAGGAAAGCAGAGCAGGGCCAGCAGGCAGTTGCAGGCTGCAAGACACCCCGTGGCCCTGGACCTTGCCCCCCAACTTTCCTCCATCTCCCCTGCTCTTGACTACTCACTGGCATCACAGTCTGAGCCACTCCCAGCCTCCTCTGGGTGAGGTCTTCCCTGCAGGAAAATCCTACATAAAACTTTGCTCTCTGAATCCCAGCCTGACATCTGTCTTGAGGACCCAGACCCCCGGGCTAAGGCCACTGATAGCTGCCACAGTGCACGCAGCAAGCAGGGAACAGTTACTGTCAGAGGCTCCCTCTGGGCACACTGTGAAGTGAGCCCTAGGGAAAACAAGAACTGAAGCAGGAGACCAGGCGGGTGCTGCAGAGGTCACACATGAGGCGACGGCAGGACTCGGGGGTCAGATTCTGGGTGTATTCTGAAGACAGAACCAACAGGCTTCCTGCAGGATTAGACATGCAGTCTGAGGAGAAGGTGGGTGAAGGATTCGGGGCCTAAGAAGCTAGAACAAAGGAGTCAGCATCCCAGATGGGGGAGCCGGGGTGGAGCAGCTTTGGGGAGCTCAGACACAGCAGGTAGGAGGTTTCCTGGACACCCAAGTGAAGCTTTCGGGTGGGGCCTGGATAGACCCGAACACAGCTCAGGAGAACAGTCCGGGAACTGCGACACATGGGTGCATTTCAGCAGGAGAGCAGGAGGGATGGCGTAGAGGTAAGGAAGAGCTAAGGTCCAGGACAGTACCACATCACAAGACGACCCGGCTGTGGAGACGCCGCAGAGGAGGAGGACAGACGGGAAGCAGGAGGAAGCCAGGAGAGGGTCGCGGGAAGCCCGGGAGGCCCTGCAAGGACAGCATGGGCCATCGTGCTGGCAGGCTCCTGAGGGTGCGCTGTGCCACTCAAGAACTGGCCGCGGTGCTGGGCAGTGTGGAGGTCACTCACAGAGACCAGCTATGTGCGGTGCTCCGCCGTCATCCCCTGGGACGCAGGCCCGGACCACCCCGACTCCTGACGGCCAGCACAGCTGCCCTGACCCTCCCTGCTGTCCCCGGGCAGAAGGCACAGCCTGCTGATGCTTCAAGCCACTCCCTGCAACTTGAGAGTGGAGCCGGAGCCTGGGTGGAGACCAGCGGTCTCCAGGGCTCTCTAGAGTGTTCTCCAACCGCAGGAAGTTGCTCCGGGAGGGGAAGGGCTCGTCCCTGGGCACGGCGGCCTGAGTCTCAGAAGGAAGAGCGCTGGGCCGGGCCTTGGCCCCAGCTCAGCTAGTGACCAGCTCTGGCCGCTTGCACGGCGCCTCACCCTTCCTGCCTGGGCCGCTTCAGTTGTGGATAAGGGGCTCGGGCGAACTGCACGTAGAACCCCCACAGTCACCATGCACGTGGGGTGACCTTCCCACACACTGCGGCTTCCGATCGACCTAATTTTACCATAAGAAATACAAAGAGGGCTGAGATGCAGTTCAGAGGTGGAGCACAGGCTCGGCATGTGTAAGGCCCTCGGTTCAGTCCCCAATAGAAAGAAAGACGAGAGAGATAGAGGGAGGGAGGAAGGGAGGGAGGAGAAAGGAAAGAAAAGAAAGAAGGGAGAGAATTTTTTCCTAAAAGGAAGAAAAATAATATAGGGCTTATTTCTACCACCTAGTGCTGAGCAGTGCGTGGGCCCCCGGAAGGGCGGGCTCAGCGTCTCTGGCGCGGCCAGACAGGGCACCCTGGCAGCAGGAAGAGAACTCAGAGCTGAGAGAATCCTGCCCACCAGCCCCTCTCCTGACTTGGAGGACGGATCAGCTGGGAGCTGGTGGCAGCCCTGGAGCAGCTCTGGCTGTGGGAGCAGGCTCTCTGGGAATCACTGAAGACTCTGAGGCCACAGGGGGACACCGGCCCCGGGGCTCCCGCGGCTGCGTGTTGACGTGTTACATCAGGTCACTGTGGGAGGGGGTCAGACCTGTGGGACACCCAAGCCCACAAGCTGTGCCCCGCTAACAAAGCAAGAGAAGCCAAAGCAGAGGGAGACGGGCCGTTTAGACGTTTCTGCCTCCGGAAGACACGGCACGCAAGACTTAGAAAGGCAGCCCGGTCCTCTCCGCCCCTCGCCTCCCTTTAGAAGGCCCGGCGCCTGCAATTGCCGCCATCGGCCACGAGATGGGAGTGAAGGAAAAGACAAAATTCTCAACCGCAGAAAAGTACCTAATCAAGGCAGAATGAAAGTTACAAAAACAGGTATCTTTAAAACACACACACAGGCCGGGCGTGGAGGATCGTTGCGAGTTTGAGGACAGCTTGGGCTACAAAGCGAGCTCAAGGCCGGCCTGCACATAGTGAGACCCTGTGTCAAAAAGGCCAAAAAAAAGAAAGAAAGAAAAAACCCACACACAGCAACATAAACAAGAGGAAGGCTAAAGGCTAACTCCTGCAGAAAATAGGTAATCAGTTCTTTAAGAGACACCCCATTCAGAGCTGCCTAATTTAGGATTCTAAAGCCAGTCCAAAGTCATAGCTTATCTGGGCAGGTTTTTGATAGTTCTCAGGCATAGCAGCAATACTTACGCTGGCGGTAGGTGTTACCGTCCTGGGCGACTTCTCAGGCCCTCCTGTGTGCTGGTCTCCCTAAAAATGCAGGTTCGGTGTCTGCTGTTTGAAACGCACTGTCCGATAGATTTTAACGCGGTGTCTTTGGTCGCCCCACTCTGGCCAGCAGTTCTTAACGCTTGGGGACTGAAAAAAGAGATGGATAATGTCTGAACAAAGGTCAGAGGAGTCGCTTTCCGCGGGTCTGCCTCCTTCACTGGGTCATGACTCCTGTGGCCGGTGTTGGTGACATGGGCCAGGGAGCCATGCGTCCTGCGTCCTTGCGTGAGGCTGCAGGTGCGCAGGGCGCTGGACTGAGGCACGCCCGCCGCCATTCTAGCAGCCCACAGCTTGGGACCTCCGAGCCCACTGCAGCGCAGGACTTGGTACCCACGCAAGGGCTCCGTGGCTCTCGGGACCAACACCCAAGCAGAAAGAAGGCAAGCCTCACACCCAGGGTTATTGGAGTTGGGGCCAGCCCGCACCCCACTGCAGGGGGAGCTGGCTGATGCATGGGCCAAGTTTCTGAAGGGCAAATTCCAGCCTGTGGGTGAATCTCTTCCCGGCAGTCTGCCCACCTAAAACATCATGTGTAACTCAGGGGGAAAAAACGTACTTGGCAATCCAAAGACCTCGCCATTGGAAATCCTTTGTTGAAAGATGTAAGTAACCCTGAAATGAGAGCGTTAGGATGGACCCTGAGAAATCACCCCATCTAAGCAGAACAGCCCTGAAGTCCTGGCAGTCAAAACAAAGCAAGGGCCTTGACTTTTCCCCTTTCATCCAGCTTCCAGAGGAGAGCTGATCACTCACGACATTTTTTAATAATGGCTGACTGTAGATTAAAATGGACCTGCTCCAATTCCAGCTCTTCCCACCTGGCCGTGTGAGTTTAAGTGAGCTCTCAGAGCTTCGCTGGCCCCATTCAGCAAGTGACTAGTAGACTGTGAGCAAGCCAGAGGTGTTTCAGAGCTTGGGTGGGACGTGCGTGAATACCCGTGCTGGGCTCCATAGATAATCGGCCACTATTCATCTCCTGCCTTCCCCAGGGGAATGGTTGGTTTATCATCCTAACGGACACTACATCCGAAATGTAGTGCTCAAGGGTGTGGAACATTTCATTTCCCTCCCATCGACCTCACAAAATGTAAAAGTCACCGTGTCGTATGGAATACACAGCTGGACATTCACAGAGGTGACTGACCGAGAAGTGATTCTCTCAGCCCGGAGTAGGACTTTGTTTTACATAAAAACCCAAGCCTTTTCTTTGCAACTAAGGGCAGACTGCATCTGATGTTGTTTGTCACTTTGCCCAGAGTTATTGATAGTTTTATAAAATGACATCAGGGTTAACGTCCCTAGAAGCACATGAGGCGTGAACTCCCCCAAGCTGGGCCCAGACCCATTGTAGCGACTGAATTTCTGGGATCCCCATGCTAAGGGGTGGGTGGAAGCCACAGAGAGTTGTGTTAGTGTTACTGCACACTGTGTGATTTAAAAACACGTGTGGTGCTTTCACTTCAGCAGAGTAAAGTGAGATTAAAACACCATGTGTAAACGCAAGGGGAGGCACCGAGTCTGACTGAGTTGGGCGTCCCTGCCTGCAGCTGCCACTTCCGGGCCACAGGGGCCTCAGGAGTCACCCTGGCCTCCTCCCCGTGCCTTCCACCTCAGAACGGGCCCTCCCGTGGGGAGCCCCAGAGGCTACCCTCAGCGTCTCCTCCGTGCACCCAGGCAGGAGATCGCCTTCATTCTTAGAAGCAGCCAGCTTTGGGGGAGTGTTGGACAGCACAGCTTCCCTCCAGCCCCCAGGGGAGGTCCCTCACTTTTCCCCCTCGCCTGAACTGATTTCCCCTCCAGCTTCGGCCCACAGAGCTCAGGCCACTTCCTCCACTCTCGCTGCCCGTGCTGGGGGTGTTGGGTGGGGGAGGAAGCCTGGGGCCGACCCGCTTCCCGTCTCTCCCCTCCTTTCCCTCCCACCAGGGCCAGGCATCTGCGGTGCTTGGGGCACACTTCTGCTGACACACACAATGTGCAGAGCATATGAATGCACCTCACACTGATTGTGAGAAAACAGTTTCCAAGACCCAGAGAGTCCTCGAGTTTCTCCAGGCTCCTCCATTCCTAGAGGTCGGGAAAACACAGGTCTTGAGACCGGTGACTCCAGCACCTTCTCCTTTTAAAGGGAAACAGGGAAAAACCCCAAACCCTTAAAGAACCTAGGGCTACTGTAGGAGCTCGGAGGCCATCAGATGACCAAGCAAGGCCAGAGAAGCAAGGTGATTGCTCCTTAGAAAGCCTTTTCTAAGTGAGAGAGCGGGGCCTATACTCCTGTTGCAGGGATGGCTGAGGCAGTCCAGATGGTCGGCCCTGGACTTCTCGAGTAGCTCTTGGTCTCCTAGGGAAATTATGAACAGAGGCTCCAGAGAGAAAACCATCTATGGGCCAGTGTGAAGCTGCCAGCAGACGCTGATACTGTGAACTTGGAACCCAGGGGCTGTGGGAAGTGGGTGTCCTGGAAGCCAGGGCTTTGTGTGTCTACTGTGCCGGCGTGTGCAGGATGACACAGGGTGCCGTACACCTCCAGTTTTTAACACTGCTGTCCCCTCGACCTTGAGCTGCATGTAGGAGGGGCTGAGCGCCCTTCCAGGGGCTCATCTGTGACCTTGTGTCTCCCAGAACCAGGCTGGGCAGCTGATGCCGGGTAATTCCTTCTCTCTGGGCACAGAAACAGTGGCTCCTCCACTCACAATCTTGGTTCATTCCATCATTCTGGAAAAGATGGCAGAGTTCGTGTTCGGGAGGGCAAGATGGCCGTGGTTGTCTTCCTCACCGATGCAGAGTCTGCAAACACAAGCAAATCTTGCCAAACACTGCCGTTTGCGAACGAAGTTGTTCACACACAGAAGTGTTTGTGTGCTGCAGTGCACTGCAGTTCCTTTACTTTACGAAATGCCCGGCAGCATCCCTCACCTTCACCCGTCAGATGCCAACTGTGTCCCCACCCCAGCGGTGACCATCAAATACACCCCGAGTCATTCTCACTTGCCCTCTGCCCGGTGAGAATCACAGACCCAAATCTTCTGTCCTCCTGGACGCACAGATCTCAGCCGTGTCCTTCCGACCTCCAGCGGGACATGCTCGGTCAAGCCCGCTCTGACCGTTGCCATGGTACCCTGCGGCCAAAACAAAACCCCTGGAGCCCGCGCTCAGGACCAGCACCCAGCAAAGATCACCCTGCAAGTCTGCACAAACACGTTCCCCAAAGCTTCCACGCAGGCAAACCACCCTGGACCAAGGCACAAGCACACGTTAGAGACTCTGCCGCACCAGTCACCGTGCAGCTCCTGTGTCTGCTGCTTTGCCCGGCCCGGCACCTGGCTGCTCCCCCACCGCTGGCTGTGCTGAGCTGCTCCTTTGTATCACCCTCCACTCGGTGCCCTGGCTGCTGGGATGCCCTTGTTCTCCACTGTTACAGAAAAGGAAGGACGGGGAAGAGGGCGGGGGCGGGGGGTGGATGTGACCAGGGTGTATTAACCACATGTGAGAAAAGGCCACACGAGAATAATCTGAATAATCCCTATGCACTAATACATCTTCAAAAAAATAAATAAGAGACTCTTGTCTCCGCACACTCCCTCCGGTTTCTTTGTCACTGCTTCGGGGCCGGCCAGCCACGGTGCCCAGAACAGCGGGGTGTTGGTGCTCAGGCAGTTTCAGAGGCCAGCACCAGTGCCCCGGGCCCAGGCAGTGACCTCTCCTGACACCTCGGACCAGAGTCACCCGGTTTCGTTCTGTGTTTCTCAAAGACCCATCACTGTGGGCAGTGAGCCAAGCTCATCATGCTGATAAGCCTGATTCAAGGAAGCAGTTGCCAAGAAGTCCATGCCTGGAATGCCAGCACTCTGGGAGGCTGAGGCAGGAGGACTGCCAGTTACAGGCCCACCTGGGGAACTTTGTGAGACCTTATCTTAAAAATTTTAAAATAACACTGGGACAGAGGACAGTGTGAAGGCCCTGGATTAAAGCCCCAGTACAAGAAAAGACAAGAACAGACAGAGACAGCTGGGCTTGGTGGTGCACACCTGTACTCAGGAGGCTGAGGCAGGAGGATCATTGCGCGTTCGAGACCAGCCTGGGCTCCAAAGTGAGCTCAAGGCCAGCCTGAAGTGCCTAATGAGACCCTGTCTCAAAAAGACAAAAAATTTAAAGAAAGAATAGAGAGGAGAAAAGAGGAAGAGGAAAGGAGGAGAAAGAGGAAAGGAAATAAGGAGGGGAAGGGAGGGGAATGGAAAGCACAGTGAAACCAAAGAGAAAATGGGTGTGGGGTGCCTGGAAAGTCCCAGGATGAGGAGGAACGGAAGGACCCTGGTGAAACTCGCACCGGCCGTGGGACCTCGCGGATGTGCCTCCTTCCTGCCTCCGCACCCCGGTCCCTGCAGTTGCTCCCCTTCCAGCTCTGAGGCCCTGCCCCTGCTCTGCCTCTGGGCTCTGGCTGCAAAATCTGGGCTTCCGCCGGAAACTTCACCCCCCGGGAAGCCCCGGGCCCCCTCCCAGCTCCTCAGATCCTCGTTCAGCGAGGCCCGCAGGGAAGAGATGTTTGTTCCTTCCGCTGGGTCTGGAGGACAAAGCCGGGTGCGCCGGAAGTGTTCAGGAAAGTGTGTGCTGACGCGTGACTGCCCCGCTTCCCCTCCCTACCCCTACTTCCCAAGAATGAGCTCGTTTCTCAAGAAAAGAAACTGACTTTCTAATTTGCATTCTTTGTACCTTTGCATGTACTCCCCTCCCCAGTACTGGAGATTGAAACCAGGACCGTCGCTCCCACCTACCCTCCCAGACTTCTTTTTTTCTCTTTTCCTTTTATTATACTCTGTGGCAGGATCTTGCTGTGTCACTAAGTTGCCCGGGCTGGGCTCAGACTTGCCACCCTCCTGCCTCAGGCTCTGGGAGTGCTGGGATCACAGGCATGTGCCCCCATCAGACAGCCAGAAGGGAGATGCCTTAGACATCATTTTGAGCATAGACAGTGTTTTTGTCTTTGACCAAAATCCCTCTCCTGTCCGTTGACATCTATGGAGAATTCTAAACTCCCGTGTCAGACAAAATGCATCGCTAGAGTTAAACAAAAGAGCAAATGATTTTGTGTGCCAGAAAGATGACCTGGATATGTCAGAAGGACACAGAGATTGGCCGGGGTTCCCACTGGCCACAGGGATAACTTGAACATCAAAAGAAGTGGTAGATATGGACTCTAACCCATTGTGTGGAATAAGAAGAATCCCTGGGTTCCTACTGACATCAGTGACAAAATGACTGAGGGAAGCGGAGGGCTCTT